AATTTCAGTTATTGTTCATTGCTGGTCCCACATTCCATTAGCTTTGCTTTTGCATGAGATGAAAGTTAACAGTTTAAACTTGTTTTTGTGGCTGTAGATCGAAGAGGAGCTGGTTTCCCTTCAGAAGGAGCGGACCGATCGGATCAAACACTTGTTGGAGCGTCAGGAGCGTGAGACTGACAGCTTCGACATGGAGAGTATGCGGCTGGGCTTTGGAAACCTGGGGGCTCTGGACTTTCCTAAGGACGAGTATAGATGAGGGCTGACCTCCTCATGGCTCCTCCTTTGACCTGAAGCACCGACATCGTCCTCAAACATAGACACTGGTGTTTCTGCGTCTGGGTCCAGGGTCCTGTGCACCCACCCAAGCCCCTCTCCATCCTTACCTCTAATAATGCTGGAGATCTTCCTATAGTTGTCATGTTTTGTACGATGATGACATCGTCAGTGTTTCATGTTTCTTGTGCAATGAGCACACTTTAGTGTGACTAAAAAGGCGCAGGATTAGAGGAGGGACAGTCCAAGGCTGCACACACTCTCCAGTGCATTTAGGAGAGATTCACTGTTTAAGCAAAAAACGATCTCAAAGCGATAACTCACACAGCTGATTCTGCGGCTGTCAGTGCTGCTCTTTTGACACTTGGTATTTTTCAGGTTATTTCAAACAAAGATTTCAGTTTTTGGACAAATTTCACAAGGTACGCTTCCAATAAATGTGATTTCAATACTGGGGTGATAATAAATTGTGATTGTGTGCATAGTACTGATTTCTCTGCACTGGCAGCCAATGTGAATATCCTTAAGTACAGTATATGAGACATGAGAACTCCAGCAGCACAAAGGGCTTCATGATGGTGGAGAGGTTTTGTTGATAGAAGGATTTATGAAGAGCTTTTACTTATTTTCATATTTCTATTTTAAATGTCACAAATCAAAATAATAATTTTAAGCGCTTTTCTTTTTCCTCCCCGTTGTCACAGTATTTCCAGTCTACTGATCAGCTTTTTATTTGCTTCAAAAATAATGCCCCAGCAGTAATTTGTTACAAACCAGAACAGTACAATGCTTTATCATCGCATGCACTTTAATTTCTCCAGGTTTAAAGAATGCATGAATCTGTCAGAGCTTTTAATTATATTTGTAAATAAAGTGCTTATCACACAACCAAAGACTTCCACTTTTCTAACTCCATTGCACTAACCAACAGTGTGCTTTCTAGATATCTTATCAAATATCTTTGTGGGACTTTCCTGCTTAAATTAAAAGAGTCCGTATTAGGGTATTTTCTTATCTCTGTTATGTTGTTTCCTCATCACAAACATACCTTGAGTTGTGTTTGTTCATTAAACACAAATCCTGCATATTTAGACTGTGTTCCTCAAATGGAAAGCATTTTGCGATGGAGATGTAGACAGACTAATAATAAAGGGCTACTCAACTGTGTGAATGAAACAAAACACAACACAACTCCAGATATGTTTTTGATGAGATAACAACATTCTCGCTGGGTTAAAGCTTAAGCGTCAAGTTTTGCGTAATGTAGTACCTTTAAGCTGAAATAGAACACCATAGCTTGCTTTGTGCAAAACCCATGGAACAAAAAACACAACACTTACATTAACTGAAAGAGTTTATTGATTCAAACAACTGTACTCCAATATTTACACCAATCGAGCCAATAGGAATTAATAACTTTAAAGCCAGCAGAAAAGCTAACCATGGTAACCAAATTATTGTACTAATGATTTGTTTTTAATGTTAAGTGAATGAAAAAGGCAGCAAAGGGAAGAATACTACCAAGTGCCACACGTTGGTGCAGTCAAGAGAAGAATAATCTTAAGTGCTTTTATGTTCACGGGATACTTGTTACTTGTTGATATTTGTATAAGAGTAGTTACTTTCCAGCCAACTGCTCGTACAACTTGGGTACATAGTCATCCCACTCAGCCTGGTAGCAGGTGCCGGCCACTGGGGCTCCAAGTTTGTACTTCTGCCTGAAAGCTCGGATCTTGAACTTTCCACGTCCGTCTCCAGAGCGGTTTGTCAGGACAGGCTCGGAGCAGGACAGGGGACCAGTTTGTTCATACACCAGCCAAACATACCTATGCAGACCTGGGGATCAAACATTAACAACTGTGTACTTCTATCACAGTTTCATAATGTGAAAATTGGAAAAAGGAAAAAAAAGTTTAACTTGGGCTCAAAAAATCTAATTGTAATTTTTCTGTCAAGTATCTCAATTTCTAATTTTAAATGTGGCTTTACTATATTTGAAAAGTGTGGTTTTGTTCATGCACATTGTAAACAACTGCAGAAGCATTTGAGAGAAGACAAAATGAATGAATGAATTGACAAACTAGCACAAGAATCCTTTGAACTTTAGAAAATGCAGAGGTTTAAACTATAGCTGTAACAAGTCTTATATACAATGTTTTTTGCAAAGAAAGTAATATTCTATATTAACGTTTGATTAATTGACAATGACAGCAACACAAAGTGGCAATTTGATTTGATTGTGAAATCCCTATATTTAGCTCTGTGTATATTAATAACAACTTGTCATACCTGATCCTTGGGGAGGTCCTGAGCCCACATAGTCAGACATGACAGAGCCAGAGGAAACGTCATTTCCTTTCATGTTCACGACGAGAAAATGGTGCCACTCCCTGTAGTAAGCATTAAACCAGTCTTACCTCATACAATACTGATGAATTACCGATGCAAAACAATAAAACAACAATGAAAACAAAAGCAAAAACAACAAATATGCTCTCTACCTGAATTTAGGAGATTTTCTGCTTGGGGCATCAGGGTCAGTCAGGACCAAAGTGTAGAGTTTACTGGGATCACATCCTGCCCATTCAATACAGGACGGTCTGTTCTGCACCTGCGGCCAAAGAAAACAAAACAATAGTGCTGTATGGCGTTCAAGTCCAGGAGAGGGCGCTGTTCGCAACATTATCCACACAAGCAAGCGTGCCAATAGAATTTGCAAGCATTGATCCAATCCATGAATGAGTTGCATAAGTGAAAGTCTCTTCATGTGCATTGTATTTTTCCACGGTTTCATACGCACACTTTCAAATCAATAAGTGCAGGTTGGGCTGTATTAACTATATTGGCTTTATTAAAATATAAACATAGAAAGGGTGCATTTTGAGTTAGCTCCACTAGCATTAGCTGACAGACCTGCGTTGGAGTGAGTACTTTTCCGAGTTCATCTATTTCCACGGCGTCATATTTAACAGTAAGTGGATCTGCTGGTTTCTCGTCGACCTCCTGCAGCTCCAGAGCTCCAGTCCACTGGCTCAGATCCACGGGCATTGTGACTTCAGGGTTGTGTGCTGGGGCTGTGGTGTTGTCTGTTGTCTGCTGCACGCTGCTGCTGCTGCGCACGCCTTCTCTGTGCGGCGTTCACTGAAACTGCCCCCACGGTGCATTCAGGGACCATCGTGAATTATATAACTGCAATTCATTTCGATGGTATAATCAAACTTACATTAAAAGTCATTTTCACGATTTCATGTTTTAAGTAAATAACGCAAAGCTGACTATAATGCTGCAAAGCTGATGTTATAATGCTGTTACCTCGTCCTTATCAACATTGCTGGGGTCGTGCTTTGTTTCACGCACACATGTTTGAGCAATCCGTTCAGAGCTCAAAATTTAAAAACACTGTGGTTTACTATATTAGGCCTTACTGTATTAGGCCTACCACATGACATCACAAGGTGGAACAGAGAAAAACTCACCCTAAATATGCAGGATTTATGTGTTAAAACTGTGCGAATTTAACACAACATAACTCCTGGTATGGCTGTGATGAGGAAACAATATTAGCTCTATAACTTAGATTAGAAAATAACTCTGCCATGTAGGAAGGCAATCGTGCTCACTCCTCTTTTCAGGTTTTTAGGGCGTTCGGGTCCCAGGGTGCCTGGCCTTAGAAAGTAGGTCTGCCTTTTAACTATGACTGAACCACACTTTCACTCTTCTGGCTTTGGTATGTACTGATCTGTTGGTTTGACAGTATTTGGTAAAGTCTAATTATTAAAGGTGCACTTCGGTGTTTCCCATTAATAGAAGAAACTATGGAGACCTTATAGTCCAATTTTCAGCCCCATAGTCTAAAATCTAGCAAAGTAAAACGCAAAACACTTAAAACAAAGGATACGTTTTTCTTGTAGTGTTGTCATAAACATATAGATGTAACAATTTTACTTATTTTATTTTTTTTTTCTGAATAGACAATATGCGACATTTATACACCATAATATTATTTAAATAAAATGATTAAAATATGGGTCGCTTGTGCCACCATAGCCTTAAACCTGTGGGAAAACTCATGCGCTGTGAATACCATTTCTTTCTCTTGGAAAGTCCCCCAAGTGCTTAGAATTAATGGCATCAAACTATCTCCATGCAGATCAATGTACACCACCAGACCAAGTTACAGGTAGTGTACACCCCACACCAGTAAAGTTACATAGTGCACCTTTAATTAGGCTACTCAAATCATACTGTGGTGTACATAAGCCATCTAGCCATGTAACTCCAACAGCCTAAAAGCTAGGTGTATGTGGAAACGCTAAATGTGTGAAACCTATGTCCTATTTCTTTAAGCAGGTATAATCAGGGTGTGGTTTTATTCGTGGCCAGTTTTGGATCAGTGTGCTTCGCGAACACAACCTGACCGCCAATTACGCAGTGACCAAAAGCTGTCCCCGTGACCCTGATCGATACTCGGACCTATACTTCTGCGTAGTACTGTGGTGTCGTCTCGTCTGTCACGGGCGGAGGCATGTCTGCTCCACTCTGCTCACCTCCACTCACTCAGGTGGACTAGTCAGACAGGTTTCAGCCGGGAACCTTTTGTTGACGCGTTGGAAGGCGATGTAGCCACAAGTTACCATGAGCGCCATAGCTTTGCTGCTGCTGTGTTTTTGCACCACGGGTAAGTTTTATGGCGTGTTTAGTTAGTCATTACAGTGTTATGCTTCCTCTGTGAGTTTCGTGTGTCTTCTTGCAGTGGTTTCAGGTGACGACTCCACGGAATCGGTTGTGACAGCGGCACCGGGCGACGTGGCTCTACTTCCTTGTTACAACGTAGGGAATGTTACACCGACCGTAACCTCGTGGAAGAAAGATGAAATAAGTATTATAAGTGGGGGTGCTTCATCGCCCTCGAACACTTCGGGCAGTCCAAGTAGCAGTCCCGGGAGCCGCCTCGAAGTGTTGCCTGATGGGAGCTTGAGCATCGCGGCTGTGGAGCGCGGAGATGGAGCGGTGTACCTGTGCGCCTCCACCCTGCCTGGGAACAACACCTTCCACGCCAGAGTCGTGCTGCAAGTAGTCAGTAAGTTCATTCTCACTACATTTATACTGTTGACTTATCAGTTGAACAGCCTGGTAGTGAATCATGGTCTTTCCAGCAGGTAAAGTAAGTTTTCTATTAGAATACTTAGCGGAGTGAAGTCTAAGCTCTGATTTAACCAAACATTGTTCATATTTCACCTCACATTGATGCAGCTATAAAGCCTAGGCACACTTCTGTGGTGAGGCTTTATTCTTGTTGTCACTAATAACAGGCTTTTATCCATATCATAAGTAGTAGGCGTTTTATGGATTGGGTTGGGCAGTATTGCAACAGTGTAGAATAATAATTTGAAGGTTATGCTGATCAATCATGACTTTCTATTAGATTTCCATTAACATCAACCCCTTCTATTAAAAATATCTTTTTTTAAATGTGAAAATTATATAGAAGATAACTAATCATCTTACAGGGGCTCTGGCCCAGATATTTGTGTTTGTGTTATGATAAAATTTAAACCTGTATCTGCATCTTAGTTTTAAAAAGGGTGCAAAGAAAATGCTCTTCGATTAAATGTTTTTAATTGACTCAAATAAGGGTGCAGACATTTAAATGAGGTTACTATGCACCATTTTGCGCCCATGTAGATCCAGGCCTGGATAAAATTCCCAATCCATTGATATATTACAATTTACTATTACAACTTAATAATGATAATACAAAATACTTTTTTTAGGTGGACCTGCCAATGTCTCTTTAGTCATTGATCCTGTACAGAAATATCCCACAGTCCTGCCAAATGGGACCTATACCATCATCAAAGGATCCTCAGTCTACTTCATGTGTTCTGCCTTCTCATATCCATCTCAAGAGCTGACTTTAGCTTTTACTGGACTCACAAATGGCAGCAGGTCTCTGGTCAACAACACTGGCCAGCCATTACTGGAATACAGAACAGAAAACATCCAGCCCAGTGCTCAGGGAATCTATAGCTGCATCGCCCAGAATAACGTTTCCCATCAGGAAACAAACAAGAGCGCAGAGGTCCTGGTCTACTGTAAGTATAATGTAATATGGAATGTAATATGTAATATGGACAGAACATGGTGTAACTTTACATATTTAAAGAGTCAATGTTGTGTAATATAGGGCAATTACACAACATTGATTCTTGTGAGCTTTAAGTCATGTTCTAATGTTGTTTCTTCCTCAAAACATACACGGAATTGTTTCATTTCATATACATGCATTTGAATAATCCTTTATTCTTAGTTTGTCTAAAATCTCCAAAGCTCAAAATGCTCTGTTCCACCTTGTGATGTCATATAATTGTAGTTTTCAAGTTAACAGCTTCCTTTTACCTTTATCTCAGTAGAGCTTGGCGATTCCAGATCTGATATCATCTAAATAACTGTAATGAAGGTGTATAGAGTTTTAAAACACAGTGGAGCACTGTGACATCACAAGGTGGAACAGAGAGAAGAACTCAGCCTAAATATGCAGGGTTTCCTTGTTAAACAAGTGTGAGTGAAAAAAACACAACTCCATGCATGTTTTTGATGAGGAAACAACCATACATAGCAAAATAGCATAATATGGGCCCTGTAATCTTCTCACTATATCTACATAACGTTTACTAGTATACGTAGTAGTTACTCAGTATTTATAACCTCAAATATTTGCTTGTTTCATCTAAAAGGAGAAGTTCCAGTTTTCCTCATTTTAAGTTTAGACATGTTTTGGGGATTTTCAGATAAATGTATTGTTTGAATATCATCATCGTGACAATCCATAAATCTATCTATAAATCGCCATGTTTCAGCTTCTATTCAGAATCCATTTTCAATTGACTGGTTTGAGACTGAGGCAACATATTATAGTATAAATCCCAGAGGCTCAAACCAGTACCATCAAATTGCAAATTGGATGGGTGTTGAAATGTTTTGATTTCAACAGTGTCCAAATGACTACCTCTGAAACCTTTTCTACCTTGACATGCTGATATGTGGTGAAGAGTGAGGTCTCTTTCACTATTCCCCCAAATATGTATTAATCAGAGTAATCAAGAAATTTGTACCTAATTAATAAAAGTCTTGCACAAAAATAAATAATTAAATTTAGGGACTGTATATGTTATAAACGATTATAATGTTGTTTTTTGCTGTTTTGGTTTTGAACAGATGCTTCAGACAGACACCCGGAGTGCATGTGGACACAGGATTCCTCTTTTGTTTTGTTCCACTGCTCCTGGTTTGGAGTCTATCCTGCTCCTATGCTGAACTGGACTGAAGTTCCCAGTGGTCGGATTTTAGCTTCTGAAGTGGCAGACAGGCTGGCTGTGAAAATCAACGGCTCCCTGCTCTCAGAGGGGCAAACACTTCGATGCACAGCAGAGCATCTAGCCCTACACAAGGGAGAGGACAGGTCGTGTACTTTTACTCTAAGTAAGCATTGTCACCCACTGAATTTTTATGAATTCACTGGACACTGGAAGACATCTTACAGTGTTTAACATCAACATGATACAGTATAAATTCAATTATTTATGGATTAATTAGGGATATCATAATATGGCATTTTAGTGGTATTGGCGTGCACAAATGTTTGTTTTGTTTCATCTGGACTTGGCTTTCGCCAAAGCATTAGGCTGCCCTGTGATTGGTCAGTCTGCACCACGGACCTATAAATACTTACAAATACAAATACAAACTCAAAACTCAAAAACTGAGAGAATTCATCTTGCTTGCAATTTAGGTTAGTCATGTAGGTTGACTGTTTGGAGTAGACTGAAAAGAAATGACTTAATTTTACATGTAGTATATTGTGGTTTAATGAATCATGTTTAATTATAATATATTGTCATTGTTATAGCACAGCTTTACACTGAAAATTTGCCTTTACTTGTCAGAAACTCCATACCCACATGGAAAGCCACTGGCCACCGCAGTGGAAGGCACCAGCATCACTTTAGTCTGTAGTGAGACCACATCCACTCCCCCTGCGGTCACCACATGGAGAAGAGGCCTCAAGCAGGAGGTCATCATGAATAACTCCAAGTACACAGTGACTGCAGAGGGGCCCAGCTTTCAACTGACTATAGTCAACATCACCAAGGAGGACGAAGGCGTTTACTTCTGCCACAGTGAAAACCCACTCGGCGCAAAAGAGCTAGAAGTCTATCTCACTGTTAAATGTAAGTAAGATGTTTTAGGTGAGACACAACAGGCTACATTAAGAGATATACATTTTAAAATTTTCTGTAGATTACCGACATAAAAGTAAGAAAATAATGTGTATTTTTATCTTTGTATATAGTTTGCTGAAAACTACAAATAAAAATAGACTTATGTATGATTTTTTCACATTAGGCCTGATTTATTTATTATTATTATTATTATTAGTTTAATATAGTTGGAATTGTTTTGTTAAAAAGACAACACATATAAAAGATCACAGTTCTTAATTTTCCTAATACTGTGAAGCCCTAATTACAAGTTTTTCATAATTTATGTGTAAAAAAAAAAAATCCCCAAATTGTATTTCCAGTACAATACACAATACATCTAAATATTAGATAGTCACTTGATTTGGTTAGGTAAAATTTAAAAGAAAAAAAAAAGTAACAATAAATGTATGTATGTGAAATTATATGTTATTTTTTATCAAAAAAATAAAAAATAAAACCTCACATATTAAACATTATTTTTTTTTAGAAAATTTGCTGAAATAATCATCTTTAGGTATAATTAGGACAATTTATGGTTTGGACCAAATTGACAAAAAAACTAGAGCCTAGTGTCTCTCCTTTTAAATGAAGTTACAGCGACCTGCGTGTCACCATTAGAGGAATGCTGATTTTCTTGCTGCTCCTCCCGTGATTCATGTTGTGTTCTGTTTCAATAGCTTCATCTGCTTATACGGGTGCTGTTATTGGACTCTTTATTGCTGTGCTCATCGTGGGATCAGCCATTGTAATAGCCAAAACAGTCTATTCCAGCAGGCACAAAATTTGCCTTGGTAAAATAATATTTATAATATTAGAATTGTTAAGAAAATTTCTGTTGCCATGAGGTGTAACTTTTTTTTTCTTTCTATTGTCTTGTTGTTGCAGGTGGTTTTAGGTAAGTATATACTGTATATATAGTTGAATTTAAAGTACACATGACAAAAAAGACAAGAATACTGTTTTCTTATAATACGCACAGAGCAGCTCTATGTCAGAAGATAGGCTGGTTGTACAATGGATACATGGATACATACATTTATTACAGCAACTCTTTAATACCGAGTGCAGATAGCAAAAATGTACAAATGTAATCAACTGGCAAAAAAAAAAAAAAAAATATATATATATATATATATATATATATATATATATATATATATATATATATATATATATATATATATATATATATATAAATGATCAAAAAGACACTCTTGAATGTCACTAACAATTATAGTCATGTTTTATCTTTTATATTTAGTTAAAATGGGTCCAATACTGTGTGACATGTATTAATTTTATATTACAGGACAATAGAGGAGGACAGAGGAGATGTTTTGAGTTTGGTCGAGTCGGATGAGGAACAAATATACCAAGCCACTGTGCCCAGACTCCCCCCTGTATCTAATGGATGCCAAACCACACTTGTAGAAATACACAGAATCCCATCAAGTACGGCTTAATTATGAAATGCTAATTTAAATTCACCTTCATGTGTAGAATAAAGAAATAACTCTGACAATATCCCCCTTTGCAGCTGATCACGAAGATGCAGAAATGGATAATGCCAACTCAAAACAGCAGGATACCACTGAAACGACAGAAGAGCCAGAGGATCTTGTAATATTTGAATGATTTTAAAGGGAAATCCTATCCCAATAAGAATGTGATTGTATTGTAAAAAAAAAAAAAGCATCTTTTAACGTCTCGTTAAAATGTACAATTTATTCTTTTAATATGTTGGACGTTGTTTATATGTAGATATTTTTTTTTGAGAACGTTGTATTGTATTGAATGTAACGTTTGCAAATATACATGGAAGAGATTGAATTGTTTTGTTTTTATCATGTGACTCACTTTATTGACAACTTGTATTGTCTTTAAGGTGGAATAGTGCTATATAAGTATGTGACCATTTGCCATTTCATTGTAGTATAGCCTTGTGTAGTGGTCTTCATCCCTATACCCTGAATTATTCACAGCATAGAACCATTTATTTCAAGTATTATACTGTTCTTTTGGTTAAAATACTGTTAAAATTATCTAATAGTTAAACTACATTAATAATACAGTCTATACCATAGTTTATACTATACCAGGTACTTTTTTGTGCTTATTTATTTATTTACTTTTATTTTATTTAATATATATTTACTTTTTTATTGAATATTTGATATAGTCACACTGCTAGGCTAGTCATTGTTTTGCACTATTAAATATATATATATATATATATATATATATATATATATATATATATATATATTATATATATATATATATATTATTTATTCTGCTTTTTTACATGAATGACAGTATTACGTTCTTCACGTTCTTTAGTATTTACTGTAGTTACGTAATTATTGAAATACGTGATTACGTTGAGCAACAATGCCCCCAGCCAATGGCAAATGGGTGAGTCACAACGAAGGAAATCGGACGAACATTTAGTTCTGCTGCTGCATATTTTACATTTTGTTTTATGTTCACACGGACAGAAGTGTCACACTGACTGTCGGCGAGCTCTGGCCTTTAAATGGACAGGTTCAGAGACGGAAACGTCACATTCAGGAAGTAAACAACGGTATCGAAGAAGAATGTAAAGACAGGACAAGAAGGATGTGCTCCACTAAAAACAACGCGGAGCTTCAGCCTTTGCGTAAGCTTAAGTCTCTTCTTTATCCACACGGATCTATTATACTACCATGATAACACACATAGCATAACCTCATATGCCCGCTGCTTGGCTGTGTTGTCATCGCGACGCTGCGTAGCCGAGCAGCTGGTTAATCCCAAGAGAAAGGAGAGATCAGGAGGTGCTAATGTGTAATGCAGGTTTCAGAGGGAAGCACTGCGGGACAACTGGACAAGACAATGTATGTGGAGCTTTTTAGTCGCTTGTCTTAATCCATGTTTCCTTTTCGATGCCCCCCAGCCTCAGACCCAGCTCTGATCCTGGAGCTGAAGACCAGGCGTCCTCTGTCTCTGGAGGGGCGGGCGGGATGTGAGACGTGGAGCGTAGACTTCTCCCCGGACGGAGCCTGGTTTGCTTGGTCTATGGGACATGGCATTGTGTGGGTCGTTGCTTGGCCGCTAGACTCTGAGTAAGATCAAGTCAAACTTACTTATAATCATTATAGCTGTAATGGTGGAGGTAGCAATGTCATTATACAGCTTAATCGGTTGTGGGTGGTGGTTGGGGGGTAGTGTGGGATAATGCAGGCAAGCTGTCATAGATGGGCCTGTGTGACAACGGCAAAAAACAAAAAAAACAAAAAACAAAGAAAGAATTATTAACTCTGTAAAATGCATGCTTCTACAACAGAGACAGTCAACATGAAGACATAGACAGAGAGGACAAGAGCTTCAGCTGTGGACAGCCGGTGTGGGGGCTTGCATTTGGGCCCAGACCTCCAAAATCCACTGCAGCTTTTTCAGTGAAAAAAGCAAAAAAGGGACATAACAGCACACTGCTGCTAGCCACTGGCCTGGAAAGTGGCGTTATTAAAATCTGGAATGTTTTAACAGGTGAGATGTTTGTGTTTGGTCTGTTCCCTAGGCCTGCCATTTTTATGTAATAACGTAAGATTAGAGCTGCAGAGGTTAAAATAAATAACTTCTATGGCTAATTATCAGGTAATTCTGCTATTTATTAGTTGCAGCTCAGGTCTTTTAATGATACTGTCTATTTTTTAAAAAATGTATTATTTGCATTGTGTCACTGGCATAAAGCATTTTCACTATTATCATTTAGCTCAGTATTTCTCAGTAGCAATATATCATGCTTTAAAATATGTTTTCATGACAGGCCTACTGTTCCCTACAAAGCAACTTGTTATTAAATGTTTTCATTTAACATGAAATGTATTTTAATGTTTTTAAATTTAACCTGCATTGTTTTCATTTCAGGTGATGCTGTTTTTGATCTCCATGGGCATGAGGGTGTTGTCAGAAACCTGATATTCCCTCAAAACGGGACTCTCACACTCATATCTTCCTCTCGAGACAAGACCTTAAGGATCTGGGACCTGACTCATAAAGGTATGAACAAGCACTTTTTCTATTACTGTTATTATTACCACTGTGTGTCCCTGCCCTGCTGATGACAACTCAAATAATTACACAACTCTATGTTCCACTGTTTCTCTTACAAAAGTACATCAGACCAGTAGAATAAACACAGACCTACTACACAGGAAAGATTAGTGTCCAATGTTTTATTCAAAAAGATAATACACCATCTACTCATGGTACCTGAAATGTTGGTCTAATTTAGTTGTACAGTGTTCTACAAACTTTACCTTTCATTTTCCTTGTTCAAGCTGATGTAAATGATGCAACAACTTACAATATAGCAAAATCTGTATGTGGGCTCAAGGAGTTAAGTAAATCTAAAGGTAGACAAATTCAGTACAGTTACAATATATGATTGCTTCTACAGGTAAAAAGGTGCAGGTGCTGTCTGGACATAAGGACTGGGTCAGCTCTTGCTGTGTGTCATCTGACTGCAGTATGATCGCGTCTGTTGGAAGATTCGACAGAGTAAGTTATATAAGGTTTCTTTTCACAATAAGGCCTTTCTAATTATGTTGTCTTAAAGGTGCATTGTGTAACTTTTCTGGTTAAGGGCCTGTCAAATGCTTTCCTCCATGGAGATCTTATTGCTTTATCAGGAATGTTTCACAATATGGTATTAAAGCTTCAAAATCTTCATGGAGACCAAACCAGTCCAAGTTACAGGTTAGATCTGTGGTTAGAATGCCTGTTTTTCTTGGTATTTTTGAGCAATAAAACCACGTGAAATTGAATAAATGTAAGGTAGATCTGTCTAATGTCATACTGTGGAACATCCCAAGCAGAGTAATGACATATCCACAGAAACAAGCAGGTGACAGGCCCCTAACTAAAAAGTTACATAGTCATTGATTTTGAGCGTCCATTGATATTTCATTGTAGTGTATCCTTATCAGTCTTTTCTATCAAGGAGTGTAGATTATGAGGTATCCTGTAGTGCAAACCTTAGACATTCTTAACCCTTTTTAGCTAATGTTCAACCACCACAACAATGCACATTAGCCTTGGTTCATGTTGTTACATGTTTAGGTATACGACTGTCTTATGCAATTCAAAGCTGATAATCATTGCTTTGTTCTTATTCAGATGGTGTGTTTATGGAGCCTGCGGTCTTACACATTCATTAGAAACCTAAGCGGGGGCGCGCAGAAGACTTTGTACCTCCTGTCCTCATGTGACTTCTCTCCTGATGGAGCTCTCCTGGCCACAGCCGCCTTCAGTGGCTCCAGTTGGTGGATTGACCTGTGGGACCCTTACACTGCAGAGAAACTGTCTACTTTAGTGTAAGTCATTTTAGGTAAACACAGCAGCATGGCTCACCCCAGAGAGTGAAATTAAATAGAAACATATTTGCTTTCATTGTTAAATTTGCAAGCACAAGTTTGTGTATTTATTTTGAGGAAATGATATGAAAGGGTGTAACCTGAACTTCCCATGCTATCGCTGCTTGCATCTGCAGCTCTGCTGGAAAACTATATCCAGGTGTCGCATGACCTGTGCGGCCTGTTCCTGCATGACAAAACCCTGAGATGAAAAGAATTGTGCTATGTGTAAGAAAAACAAACAAGCATGCAGTGTGTACAATAAATAAACTTTATGTTTCCAGTGACTACTTTGAAGATTATGGACAAAATCAAATCTCAGCCATACAGTTCTCTCCCAATGGCCTATACTTGGCAATAGTCACTGAGGACAGGTGAGCATCTTTGTTTTTGGATCCAATATGTTTCTATAGTAACATGTTTTCAGATGTATAGCATTATACTTATATAAACTGTTCATATGCAGACCACTACGAATCTGGGAACCTGGCAAGAAGGGAATGGTGATGCAGGCAAAAACTGACCGAAGATCCAATGGGCTGTGTTGCAGTTACCATCCAGAAGGGGGAGTGGTTGCCACTGGGTAAAAATTAAGTTGTAATTGATAGCAGGATCTCAGGAAATGCAAAAAGGAAGGAAGGATCCAATATTGCTATTTTGTATTCACCTAAAACTATGTGCATAATCTAAACTTGAACATGGTGGAATAGATACACTGTAATGATTCTTAGTTTTTAAAAGTTCACTGTGTAATATTTCTGGTGCCATCTGCTTCTGTTTTTCTCCATGGAAAATGGTGCAGGTTTTATAGCTCATTTACCTAAAACTGTACTAAAAAGCATTAATTTTTTTACAGTGTGAGCATGGTTTTCTCTCCACATATCTGACCTGTTACTTGGCCTACTTGCCTCCATGGAAATGACCCATGCAAATTTCATACCACACTCTGGAATATGGCAGAGCAATAACATCTTCTCCACAAAGGTTATAGCATACCATAAATCTAAGCCAACATTAATATTAAAATCCTTTCTGCTCTCTCAGGACTAGGGACGGCCATGTGCGGTTTTGGCATGCGCCCCGAACAGTGCCCAGCCTGAGCCACCTGTGCCGGTCCATCCTGCGCCACTCCGTATCCACCCACCAGATGGAGCCACTACCTCTGCCCAAGAGGATCCTGGAGTACCTGACCTATAGAAACATCCCGGACCTCAAAACCTGCTGCTCTGATGATGAGTGGGAAAACTAGATAGGAAACAACCTTTGATGCAATAATTGAAAATAGAGCCAGCGATTGTTATTCTTACAATGCTTTTTTTGGTTTAACAAGATGCTTTAAACTTAGTTAGTAGAGAAAAGCATATTATAATATTCTAATTTATAATAACTGCAACCATATCAAAAACATATTGCACTACTATTATACAATGAACATGATGCAAAGTTCATGGTTTATTACTTGAATCTCACTTTATACTGTTAATTTATCATGTATAAAATAGGGATTTATACTTGTACTACATATGCACTGTTACCTTTGCGTATTAATGTTAATAATAATAACTCACTGCAAAATTAATGTTTTATTAAAAGAAGAAGAATGCATTTCACAAATACTGAAGAACATTGGTGACATTAGTTTTTTTTAGGCTTTTTTTTTTTCCTTGTGTGATGTTGAATGCTGCTCTAATCCATGTTTTTTTGATGTAAATCAAACAACTGTCCATCCCACCTCTAAGCAGCCTCACTGGTCACTAGGTCCCGTACTGCCTGGAAAGCTGCAACCATGGAGCTTAGTTGAATCTTCTCATTGGTTCCTGAGGCCAACCTGTGTCTGGAGAGGAGTTACATTATGATAACCCTGAAGTTTAAAATAACACCAAGAACTTTTCTGATGGGGGTCTGCCATACATTTGTGTCTATAGAGATGCACACAAATGTAATAACAGAAAAGCAATAACATGTCCATGAAGGCAACTATCTTTTCTCTACTAGAAAAGACAAAGAGTGCACCTTTTAACTCATAAATTCAGGGTTGTGTTTTTATATTATTTGTTAGAGACCATAGAACAATACTAATATGTCCTTTTGTCAACCATATTTTTAAATAAAAAAAAATAAAAAATCACTTACTCAATGTCAGCCAACTTAATGAGCAGGCCCATCCGAATGGAAGGTGGGAAGTCAACTAAAAATAAACAAATATATAGATTTATTTCTCTTTCAAACAAATAAGTCACAAAATTAAATACACTTCGCCTCTTACCTCTGTGTATGAGCATGTGGACTTCAGTGAGAATATCATGCAGTGCCAAACCTTTCAGTGTTTTCAGCTCAAGAATTTCTGAGTGCATTCATTAAGGTTTTAAATGTTCATCAATATGAAAAGTGCAGTATTGTGTTGCAATTGCTAAAATACTATCTATCAGTATCTAGTACATATGAAGGATACGATTGTAAGCTGTGGTAAAATTCTGGTTGAGCGACCAATCCAGGATGTTGGCAATATCAGAGCGAAGAGGGTGACCTGTGCATGTGTAGACTGTGTCCTCTGTGACCTTCCCATATGCCATACTGGTGCTCTGAGTACAAACAAGAAAGCATTTTTATCCTGTGAGATTATGAAAAATTGAAAGTAAAAGCACCCACTAGGGCTGTGCAATTTAATCATTTTAAATCATCAATGGTCATTTTTGGTCTTTAAAAATGTCTACAGTAAATACTATTGTCAGTCAGAAGTTATTTAGAGCAGAGACCAGACTTTGGGGAATTTGGACTATTATGTGTTAAACTGAACATAAACATGACCTTTTAAGTTTCTTTTTCTCATATTGTCCAGCTTTCGTATCAATTATGCAATACAAAGTAGAAAAAGTAGTAAAACTGACTTACTTGCAGTATGTTCAGGGATCTTCTCATATCCCCTGATGATAATGTCACAATAGCCTTCATTCCATCTGGAGTTATGTCAATACTGCCACAATAAACAAATCCAAGCACATCACTCATTGTCTGAATAATGTAAAATACATTTATACTATTCAATTACCAACTAAACAATGAATTGTGTAAATACAAGGATCCACACACTTTTCTTCTTTGATGACGTGTTCCAGTCGTGGGATCATCTGCTCAGGAACCAGAGGGCCAAAGCGAAACCTGGTGCATCGTGACTGAAGAGCCGGGATGATTTTGGACAGATAGTTGCAGATTAAACAAAACCGCGTATTCTCCGTGAACTTTTCAATAACTAAAAGAGAAAAACAAATCTTAATTGGCAAAATATGAAAACATATTGATAAAATGTATAAATTAATACAGATATCCTAATCCATTATAATATAATTAAACTAAATAGTTAAATTTGATGCACAACAAATTTACATGCTTAATTGTGAACAGTACATGAATTTCAATGCTTGTGTTTCAGTTTAGCAGACATGAAATTCAAATAATTTGTCAATTCTAGATAGAGATGACTTATTGATTAGTTCTTGGCAGTGAGGTGCACTACAGCCTCCGTCTGTATCTGGGAAACAGCTGAATAGTGGGACTGCTCAGTGAGCCATGCAGCTCACAGTGGGCAATGCCTGGCTGAACAGATGGCTTACCTCGCCGCAAAGCATTCTGGGCATCTTGGGTCATGGCATCAGCCTCATCCAGTATAACCAGCTTGAAACCTTTTCTAGAAATCAAGAAATGTCATTGTAAGATTTATTGAATACTTAAATAATGTCTTCAGAGAGAGTTACAAGTCAGATCTATGGAGAGTTGACCCTGTTCACAGTAGGGCTGGGTATCATTAAGAAGTTGCCGATACGATACATACCTCGATACATAAGCCACGATACGATACATATCTCGATACAGTGCACTTTCGATTCGATACGATATATTTCAAAATGATTCGATACAGTTCAATAAAAGGCTAAATCATACTAAAAGATACTAAAAGTCTTTGTTAAACCAATTTTTGTGCAAAAGTTCATATGAAACACAAAATATGAATCATCAAAACAGTGAAAATGTCAAATATGTCGCATAAACGAGTTTCCTTCCTCTAAACAAGCAACAAAACTGTAGCTGTAACAAAATAATTTAGTAAAATATACCAAAAAAATACTCTTGGTGATATAGCGATACAGCAGCCCACAATATCGATACTGTATCATCTCATTAAACGATACGATAAATCGATATTTCAATATTTTTGCACATCTCTAGTTCACAGTAAGTTTTAAAAAGTATTTTTGAACAGTAATTCACCCACAAATAAATAAGTTTAATACTATAATATTGGAACATCCCAGGCAAAACAATAATATCCACATCGCAGCCAACATCCCACCAGAAAAATTACATAGTGCACCTTTAATAATATGTAGCTGCCTTACTTAAAAATGGTCCGTGTGCTGGCAAAACTGAGAATGGGTCCTCGTACTACATCAATACCTCTATCATCAGATGCGTTGAGCTGTCATCAGAGGAAAAATAGCTTAAAGTAAGATGCTTGGCATACAATGACAACTTCGCATGGATATAAAATGTACCTCTAACACCATGGAATTGAACTCCTTCTCCTTGTACAGTTGCTTGGCACAGGCCAGGATGGTGGATGTTTTGCCTGTTCCTGGAGGCCCATAGAACAAAAGGTGTGGAAGTCTGTCCTCACTTATGAACCTCTGAACTGCAAAAGTAGATTCAGATTAATATTACCAGTACAGTATGTAAGTATAAAGGCTACATTTTCATTATTATGTTTTTACTCACTAGTGCTTAGAATATCTTTGTGTGAAATCAAGTCATCCAGGGACTGTGGTCTGTACTTTTCAACCCTGTGAAGATAAAACGCAATTTATTATTTCTTGACATAAATTAGGGCACTTAAAATGACATTAACATTACAAACATTGTGACTTCAACCTGTGACTTATGGATCGAAACTATACAATTTATATTATGACATTAAGGGTGTTATAATAGTTAGAAAAGTAAACATAAACAAAACAACAGAAAAAAGCTCATTAAGGCAACTAACTAACACACGGGCTAGCTCTTAGCATTTGGTAAGCTTCAGTACATTTAAACTATACGAAGACTATTGACTTACCATGGTAAGTTCCTTGGCTGTTGCGATGCTTTGCTGCTCATTGAAGCCATAATCCAACACAAATGTAATGTAAAGGAAAAGAAAATATGGTGAAAGACGCGTGTTTATGAATTTAGCCCAAAGGAAACTGATTTGGCGCGTTCTATGACAAACTGTGCGCGCTACGTCATTACGCGCCACCAATGGGAGCGGAGGTGGGCGGGACAAGCACGACTAACGTTGAAATGAAAAATAAATATATACATAAATTTAAAAAAAGTAAACATAAGTAACAACAACACATTTAACTGATAATAAATAATAAGATAAATTATACTTTAAATTTTATTATTTTTTAATCTAACAGAAATAGATGGATATACAGATATACATGTACATATGTTGTAATAAAAGTTGACCTGAATAGTATCTAGTACGTAGAAAGTCTATGTTATAGTATCATAATTATTTCAGGAAGCTGTTCTATTTGGTACCAGTAGGATATCAGAAATTCTAAGACGACTTAAAATCACACTCAGGGGCACTGTAATGAGCACAATTTCTTTATATCTTTGTAATATGATACATTATTCGCATTGGCTGTATATGCTAGAAAAATGTTTTATCTGTAAGAATACAACTGCACTATACAAAATGCAAGCTTACTCACTATTATTGATTTTTTATAGCCTTGTGATTGATTAGGTCTGTTGTGATTAGAAATGCCATGTGTGTTTCTTTGATTATTTGTTGCCACAACTTTAAGCCACATATAAACTATTCGAGTCACTGTTTTAACCTCTTTAATTTTAGTGACTTAGCATCTGCAGCATCCCATGACAGGTGCTCACGCAGGCCTGGATACAGTGGGCTCACTGATCTCGCGAGAGCGGCCCCTCACGGTGGAGCCTGGGCAATGCGATGCTGTTGCTGTGGATTTGATTGACAGGAAACATGTCGGTGTGGTGGGAGCAAACCGGGATGCAGCTGCTGCCAAGGGATACAGGGAGTACCTCGCATCAGCACCTTTAAACAGCGGGCTGCGATGCGCCCCAACGCTGCTCTTTTGTTCGATGTAAAACCGAGGGCCACCCCATGGATGCTGTGGCGAACCGCGTAGCAGCCTGCCGCTCGCTCTCTTCACATTGTGTTTGATTTAGCTACAAGCAGAGACACCTTGATGAAACAGCAGGAACTACGAGCACTGTTGTTGCAATGGAGTCGACTGTGTCACGGCTCAAACCGCGTCTGTAAACCCACAACACCTCGGTCCATGGCGTGCTGCAGGTTTCCTCTCTGAAACACATTTTAATTTCCACTGGGGGGCTTTATTTTATTTTGTTTTTTCAAAGTGCAAAGGGAAAATAACGACCACTGCTCGCAAACTATGAACGAGGAGATGACCAAAAGCGAGGAGCAGCATCTTAGTTTGCAGAAAGCCTTGCAGCAGTGCGAGTTGGTGCAGAACATGATAGATATAAGCATTTCTAGTTTGGAGGGTTTACGGACCAAATGTGCCACATCCAACGACTTGACACAAAAAGAGATCCGAACGCTGGAGGTAAGCACCGGGATTGTGTTGTGCGTCTTCGTCTAAATCAATTGGGGATCTGTCCTCCATCGAGGTCTCACTATGCATGTCTGTTTACCTATTTCCCCCACAAACCTGTCCAGAGTACCTTTATATGAGCCTTCTGAGCTGTGTGTTGTGCAGTGCTATAAATCAAGGCTACGGGACTGCAGTGGGCTGTTATAGACTTGCGCATTCTGCAGGTGGCGAGGAGAGAAGGTTCCTCTTCTCCATCAGAATAAGATGAGAGGCAGCCGAGTCGATGCCGTGTTTTCACTCTATTCTCCGTGTGCTAGTTTAGGCTGCGCATCTGTAGCTATAGTCGCAACCAGGCCTAGGCGTTATGCAAGAAGGCCACATCACTCAAATCACCAAATATCCTTATCTGCTTAATTGGCCCGTGTGGTATTCCGAAAATTGGGTTACGTAATGGCTATTAGATTATCCATGCCTGGGGTTTGACATGTGGGATCTTTAAAAACACTTAGGGCAGTGTAGCAGCCCACTTGCCAATGAAAGCACATAAAAAACATATGTCATAAAGTGTGATAATGTCATTGACCACTCACAAGAGCGCACAGCAGACAGAGACCTGCAAGAATGTCCACAATGGTGCCCCAGGAGATGAAAACAAATAGCATTAAGAGCGATAAGGTTGTCATAAACTCAACGTTGAGTGTCTGTGTGCACGGGCCATCCCATCACAACACTCGTTACTACTATAGCAGAAATAGAAAGTGCCATCAAGTCCCTCTAACCCTATTCTTAGAAATCATATGTAGTCACTTCACAAGGGCTCATTTACTTTGTTGTGCGTAATAAATCCATATTTCTACCTAAATTTCATGGAACACATTTTTTGGTTTTGTGTAAGCGTCTCAAAAACAGAATTAGGCCTGTCAGAAGTGGTTTACTTTACAAAACTAAGTAATTTGGTATGCCATATACATATAGGCTATAGTACTCTTTTAGGAACTTGAGTTATTTTGAACCATAATTTCAGCAACATTTATTCTTCCACTAAGCCTAAGCAATAAAATCTTTGAAAGGTATACCCCTTGTAGGCAAATGTGGCCTCTGTAATTAACCCATCTCCAGATCTTGAATAAGGCTACTACTACTATCTTGTTATTGTATATTTTAAGTTGGTGGGGTAAACCATAGAAAATCCTCCCAGACTTGTTAGGAGGAAGGAGTTTTAGAGCTCTGTGAAGTTTGTGTAGATTATCCTGATCCTTTTGAGTTTTGTTCAAGATCCTACACTTAGTTTGAGTCTTCTTCTTTCTTTCGGTTTTCCGTCTAACTAACACAAGGGATGAGAGATGTTTGCTATAGTTTTAGTTTAGAGTCTGTGTTTTTGTTATGGGACAGTGAACATTCTTGAATTGCAATCTCTTCTGTTGGTCCTGGTTTGGTGCTGGTCATAGTCCTAATATATCAGTTTAGTCCTGATATAGACTTGATTTGATCCAGTTCCAGTCCTGGTTTAGTCCTCGTCTAGGACATGGTTTTAGTTCCAGGTTACAGAGGGCACAAGAGGAGATTTGTAAAACCTATAATGCAGTGTATGCTGACGACTTAAAGATTGTTTTAAAGAAGCTAAATTATCTGGTCTATGTCTCCAGAGTTGCAGGTTGTATTGCATTCAATAGATAAACTTAGAAAACAGTATTTATGAAGACAAGTTTTAAAGCAATTTCTAACTCATATAGGCCTTTACCACTGAAGTTGTCACCTCTACAGATGACTTGCATCACTAAGTTTAGATATGTGGGCATGTGATTTTGATTTTAAGGAACAGACTCGAGACACAATACCGATTCCAATACCATGATGATAAAACACTCTTTTTTTAGGCAATGGTGTGATTTTCAACATTAAATCGTAGCATGTGGTCAAAAGCCCTCAGGGTGTTTTCACACCGACAGTATTTGGTGCGCACCAAACGGTCCATTCAAACCAAAAGTGGTTAGTTCGGTTCGTTTGCGTTGGTGTGAAAGCGTCAATCGGACTCGGACCCGAACCAAATCAAGCGGACCGAGACCGCAAAAAAGAGGTGGTCTCGGTTCGCTTGAATCCGCACCAAATGACCAACTTTGGTGCGGTTCCTCTGGTGTGAACGCGAACCCGGGTCCAAACCATAGACAGTATGGACAAACGGACTATTCGAAATGCATCATGGGAGAAACGCGTCTCCTCTGCCTGAAATGACGCGCTGTACGACTCCAGCGCAGTAACAGATTGTTGTCCAGACGCAGACGCGATTCATTTTCGAATCATTTTACCAACAATGGCCAATACAGAGAATGTAACACACGAAGATTAGAGCAAGTATCAGTGTGCGAACGTGTGGCTCCAGAGTGAGTCAAAATTGGGGGTGCGCACCCCTGTTCAGGACCTACACGCACAGAGACGACCCGGTGTTCCCCCGTGATCACGCAGCAACCAACATTTGTTATTTTAGGCTTTAAATAACCAAATAATTTTATGGCAATAGGCAATCGCCCATTCAATTGATACAACTTCAAAAAAGTCCCTGCTTTTAGCCTAGTGTGAGAAATACAGTCGGACTAGATCCAAACCAGAGTCCCGAACCAGCGGGGGCAGCTCCGGTTCAGTCCGGGCTCAGAGGAGCTGGAGCGGGGAGCCTCGACCTGAGGAAGCGCTTTCCCCGGGAAGAACCAAATGCGCGGAGGACGGACGCTCAGAACAACATATAACAAACCAAACTGGACTCACGCTTCTGTCCGGATGCTGCACCACCTCGGAACCAGCATGCGGTTCTTGAGCGCGGAGGACAGGAGCAGCGCGCCCGGACCTGTAGTCCACAGCGCATTCTTGCTTTTCCCGCACAGAAACAGCGCGCAGACGACGGAACGTACCCGCTCAGACCCAGTCATTGCGCACTGGTCTTTCTCGCCACCGTTTGGAACCAGCATATTGAGGATGAAGCCTCCGGACCATCTGACCAAAGCGCTTGTAACAGAAGACCAAGGACCAGACCCCAGCCCCGTCCTGAGGAGCTGCGCGCTACTGTGAGCGCTGCTGCTGTTACCCGAACTCTGGGCTGATGCGGTGAGTTTGTACAAAGTTCTACATGTTGCTGTTTTATGAGTTCATGGTGATAATTTGAGATGAGGACGGCCCGCGGTATTAACAGGAACATCGGTGTTGATAACTGGAGTATCGCTGTTTTACCGGGGAAACAGAGACCCGTGAATCGAACCAGTTTTGGTTTGTTTGCCGGTGTGAACGCGGACCACACTGGAGTGTATTTGCTACATAATAACAATTTTATTGCCTGGTGCGGACCAAATAATCGAACTAGCGGTGTCCATCGGTGTATACTAGATATTGTCTTATACTTGTTCTTATACAGCTCAAGATTTCTGTCCTAAATGTTACTGTTTTAGCATTGATACCTGCTCAAGTGAGTATCTAGTCTCAATACCATTTTTAATATCAGTTAGTTTTGACAACCCTGTCTAGTAGTTGTAGATTAGGCAACACACCTGACTCCGCAAGGAAAACTTCTCACTACAATACAATATATTAACAAAGTGGAAAAAAGTGTAATGCAATTATTAAAGTAGCAAAGATAGC